TGAATAGAGATGAAAAATGAGCAGTCTGTCCATGCTCCTGAGACCTGAAATATATTTGTGAATCTAAATATCTTACGGTTTTTCATGCCATAATATATATTGCCCAAGAAAAATTAATAAAACGAGCTCGAGAAGGAAAATTAATACTAACAATTTAACGTTAACATTGAAATTAAATAAATAATTCAAAAATAAAAACAAAATGACGAAAAAATGTTGAATACAATAGGTTGCGGTTAAATTGTACTTTGAGGAGTGGAGACCATCCAGAAATAAATATGTAGCTTTTAAAAGCAAAATAAATTGTGACGTTGGAGATATTGAAATTCTGCTAATAAAGGATAATAAATTTGACCAGGATGAGTGAAAGGCAATAACCAATTCTAAGAAGTGCTAAATTTAGTCGATCCTTCAAAGTTGGAGAATTATTGTCCACTTGCAGACTTGCTACAACAGCATTCAATTTTCAACACTATAATCAATTTTTTGTCCCCCTAAATCAATTTCACTGTTAACTGTTAATAGTCCCAATGATAAGTTACTATTAATTTATCATACTTCTTATGCAAACAAGTTTTAAGTATTACTGATTTTAATTTCTTTTTGTTACACATAGCTATTATTTTATGAGAGACAATTTTATTTGAAACACTGTTATGTGCTAAATATGAGCAACTTTTGTAACGGTGATTCAAACCTTAACTCGTAACGTTTTGAGAGGCTAGCTCTTTTTGTTGGAGCCAACCCTATCAGTTGATTTCAACTTATTTTATTGTGATGGTAATAAATTTATATAGTACATTATTCAATTGGCATGGCCACAAATACCCATATACATTAATATTTTATCTGGTCAAGTGCATGAATGATTCAATTAAATTTTTGTAGTCAAAATCATTTGTGGTGGCAAAAAAAAAAACATTCATGATAGGGGTGGGCAGAATTTTTTAAAAATCACTGAAAGCGACATAACGTTTGGAATCCCCCAAGAAAACATGCTAGCTTGCATAAAGCTCGATATTATTCACATGCATTACACATTTCATTTATTATGTAAATATATCTTTAATTGAAATTAGATTTCAGACTTGTATAGAGTTAAAAGCTAGTAATCACACTAACTAATAAAAGAAAGAGTACATAGCAATCAAGATTAATTTCCAAAAATCTAAAGACAGCATGGGGTTCTCCTGGAGAATGTCAATGGGATTAAGAGGGATCCCACAACGCATTATTCATTAAATTAAGCTATGTTAAATCTAAAGACTATAGAATGGGGTTAAGCCTCCGACATGTGGATTGAGACAAGACGATCTATATTAATACCAGTTCTCATCCTATTTTATTATTGATGTGGTAGTGAGGAGGAGATGGAGCCCATTATTAGAATGCAAAGGAAAGGGATTTATATCTCTCATCTTCTCCTTACAAATGTTTTATTCATATTTTCCGAAGTGGATTGGGATCAAATTGATGTTGTCATGTGATGCATAGAAGGTTTAACATGTCAAGCTAAAATTTTAATTCTTAAAAAAAAAAAAAAAGAACCATAACCGCATTTTGGAGGAATGTAGAAAGTGCTTGTTGAGAAGAGGTTATCAAGCAACGTGGTTTTCACCATTCTCGTTTGAAAAGCATCTTAGATAAGAGGTCATTGCTAAGTCTAAGAAATTGTATTTAAAATTTCTTATTGAGAAGTATGGTAAAGGGTAAGAGCTAGTTTATGAAGTCATTACTAAAGGAAGTGCTTTTATATTTACGGAAGAGCCATTAGGGGGTGTTTGGAATACCCCATAATCACTTTTTAAAAGCATTTTTTTACAAATCGAAATAAATTCCTCTACATATTTATTTTGTAAACCATAAAAACACTTTTGAAATCATGGCTTTGTTTTTACCCAAACATCCTCTTAGTGGGTTATGGCTTGCCATGGTAGAAGGGTGAGATTTTGACATGATAAATGGCGGTTGTATGGGAAGCCTCATCTTATAGCTAGAAATGAGGCATGAGCTAATAAAAATGATAATAATAGTTAGGTCATTGATTATGTTACACTTAAAGGGAAGTGAAATTTTGAAGTGTTAGAGCAAATAATGGCTGGTGATAATGTCTCAAGTGTAAGAGCAACTCCATCAAGCAAGATGAAGTTGGAGATATGATAGTGTGGTTTCATCCTACTATAATCTCCTTCACCATGTTAGTTTTATGCATGCATCTATATGGTGAATCAATGAATAGTGATATCGGTGCTTGGAATACAATATGAAAATGGAAAGAGACCAGAAGAATACAAGGATTCATGTGGCTAGCGAGTAGGAGGGACATTATTAACTTCTATAAATGAAAGCAGGATGATTGGTTGTTAGCATATGAAAGAGAATACACTATATGTGATTCGTAACTATGTTAAATTGAAGCATAGTTTGTATGAGTTGCCAAAAGGGAAAGAATTTGATTTCTTATTTATGTGAATTGCTAGTGATTAATTTATATTGAATTAGAGTGTCAGAAATAAACGTGGTGTTCCATTTTTTAGAGTACGGGCCTAGATGATGTGGAATTAGAGGAAGAGATGATTGTCTAACAGTGATCTCAATTTGCCTCAAGATTAAATGGGCTAAATCTTGAGACACACAGGGGAAGTAAAAACAATTATTAGAAAATAACGGTTTTGCTTGTTGTAGAGTATAGCAAGAGAATAAATGGGGAAAGCATATAATGGGTTGGTGCAAGCTAATTTTTGATATAGGTGATGGATGGAGTTTAGATGTGAAGGTATTGCAAGAACTAAGCAAAGAGATTTAATGGCAAGTTTTGGGGGGAAGATTAGTAAGCGTTGTTGTGAATATGAGTGGGTGTGTCAAAAGTGAATTCCCACATTGCTCAAGAGAGAGGGAGATCAATTATATATATACTATCATATGTTATCGGGCTAATGAATGGGCTTAGAGGAGAAGAATAATCTCGCGTGCATGACAAGGGCCCACTAGAGGTAAACGTAGTTGAAAATTGGTGATTTTCCTCCTGTGCGTGATGACTTAATTGTGTTTATCGTAATTAGTGCAGTACCCAACATTCAGATTCTCTGTGGCCTATATAAAGGGGCTCAAGACAGTGTGGTCAACACACCACTCTTGAGCTTTCAAGCATCTATTTCTCCTCTGCATTTCTCTACTTCTTCTCTCTGTGTTGTTGGGTTACATTTGTTTCTGTTGTTCTGTCACCTTGTTTACTGCAGGAAGGGTTTGTTTAATTCTAGAGAGTGCCGCATTCATATTTGTCTACAGTGACGGAATAACTCTTAAGGACAGTATCTACCAGCACAACTCGAACCAGATTGATATTCACCTTCAGTTTTCTCAACAAGTGTTATATCTTTGAAGTAAAATTTCAAGTGATCTACATGGTCCACAACTTCTTGAAGCTTCACGAGCAGAGAAACCCATTATTAAAAGTGACACCAATAAGGCAATAATATAATATCACCGTTGCAGAATGAAGTTGGTCTAATAGTATAATCAAGACTGCAATAGCAACAACAAAAGGAATTGTGTAGGTCTCGGGCATGGAAAGTGTGGCATGTATACTAAGAATGATACCGATGTTAGTGAAGGGCAGAAGAGGTCTGGCCGGATGAAGCAAAAGGAGGGATGAATTGAGCTTAATAAGAGGTGAGTTGAGGCAACCCTGGATGCGTGAGTTACAAAGATGTGTTGCACGTTAGAGGTGGAGAATGGATCGTAGGCCTCATAGGTGATTTAGGCTAGTGTTCTGCGTATGAAGTAACATGTTGGGGTTTAAGGAAGGGGTTGATGTTCGCATGAGATATTGGTGAAAGGAAGGTTCGGGTGGGAGTGGACTCAAAAATGTTGTGAAATGCTTATGAGGTAAAGGAAAGATTGAAGCCTTGCCGAATTGACGTCTAATGGAGACTGGGAAGCTCCTAAATTTAAGTTGGAAGGTTGAATTGAACCATGGGGAACAAAAATGAAACGAGTTGTAGATTGCCACCAAAGTTAAGCCTTAATCTAAGACTTTAAAAGGGAGCCAATCATGAAACGCCACGAGAATGGAAATTGAGATTTGGATGGAGAAGCATGGTGTTAGTTAAAGATTATGGATGAAAGGATTAGGGTTGTTGATATGAGTTTTAATTTTATAGGTTAATACAATTTTTAACCCCTCATGTTTGTCCTTATTTTGATTTTGATCCCTTAAGTTTTAAATTATATTTTTTGTCCTTTAATTTTTTTAATTTTAAACATTGATATCTATAATTTAGTAAAAACCTGAATCATTTTGTCTTTTGAGAGACTAAAACCTTTGATTTGAAACTCAAGGAACTAAACCAAAATTCGTGTAAACTTAAAGAATCAAAAATTATATTAAACTTAATGTTATTTTTCCTTTATGTTCTGTCTACGTGTTTCCTATGACTTAGTTCTTGAGTTTATTTGTGGTGTTAAGGTATAGGGCTTAGTGGCTTATTGCCTACAACTCATTGAAATCTATCAAATTTTACTCATGTGACGGCCAGCTTTGCAAAGTGTAGCTGTCAACTTTATGATCAAGGTATTAATTAAGGATTAAATCACCAAAAAGAAAAATATTGCGTGGGCTGCTTTAAGAATGAGTGCAAACTTAGGGATTAATGCTTATAAATTGGGAGGTTTTATTCGGTTTTTTTTTATAAGTTTAACCACTTTTTTTAATATAATTATTCAGAGTATCCTTATATCATTTAAGGTTTGAGACTAATTATTATCGAGTTGAGAATATTAAAATTAAAATTCTTTTAATAAATACGTTTTCTAAAATTCAAATTTATATTTTTTTCTTTATGTGTTGAGATCGTTAATTATCTCAACTAATTTGTAATTTTTTTAAAAAAGAAAAAGAAGTGGCAAAATACGCTTTCCCTGTGGCTTGGCCAAAGCCCAATTAACATTTAGGCCAGATAAATGCAAAATGGCATTGATCAAACTCGTCAGTTCTGAGTTCCGACTTCCGAGTTCTAGCGTTTTCGTTTCGTCTCAGCCCTAAATCGAACCGCGAGTTGCGACCCCTGCCCCTTCCCTGTTGAATGACCCCATCTTGTTCCTTCGTGTTTTTCTCTCAAGCACTCACAGAGACATTGAATCCCTTCATGTTTCTCTAGCAGCTTGGAGAGGTGGTTCCACTCGGGATCTTACTCAAGTTCATACTGGTCGAAGCCTCTGTGGGGGCTTACCCTACCACCAATTGGTCTTCCATAGACGAAATAGAAGCGTGGTCGGAGCTCACAGATTCGAATTTCTTGGATTTCACAAAATTTTGGTTGCCGAGCTGTAAAGCGGTGTCGAAATGTTGGGTGGGCTATATGGAGACCTCCCTCCTCCTTCATCCGCCGAAGAAGAGAAAACCAATAACGCCAATGTATGGTCGAGCAGCACCAAGATGGCGCCAGCAACCCTTCGCAAGCCGGTTTTCGCGCCTCCTCAGACGATTCTGAGAACCCAGAACAAGCCCAAAACTGTCAATTCTTCAGCACCTAAAACAGCGACGTCGACGCCGGTCACGGCACCGTCACCGGTTGTGCCTGATGACGCAGCGCAACCCGCTCTTGTGGGTGTCCAATCGACAGTGATGGAGGAGTATGACCCGGCGAGGCCGAATGACTATGAAGAGTATCGAAGGGAGAAGAAGAGGAAGGCTAGGGAGGCAGAGATGATGAAAGAGCTCGAGAGGAGGCGGCAGGAAGAGGAAGAGAGGGAGAGGAGGGAGAAAGAGGAGCGGGAGAAGGAGAGGGACAGAGAATATGGAGACTCGAGATTGAACATTTCTGGGGAGGAGGCATGGAGAAGGCGTGCGGCGATGAGTGGGGCAATGCCAAGATCTCCATCGCCACCGCCTAACGGAGATGGTTTTACTATTGGCAAGTCAGAAACAGGCGGTTTGGGGCTTGGTGCCGGTGGGCAAATGACAGCAGCTCAGAGAATGATGGCAAAGATGGGATGGAAGGAGGGACAAGGACTTGGGAAGCAGGAGCAGGGAATTACTACACCGTTGATGGCGAAGAAAACAGATAGACGAGCTGGAGTCATTGTGAATGCTAGTGACAATAAGCCGGAAAAGAAATTGAAGAGTGTGAGTTTCAATGGGCCACCTACGAGGGTGCTGCTGCTTAGGAACATGGTATGCATATTTTGACTTATGTTTTGAATCTTGCTGCCGCCTCTAGATGTTGAGTGCTTGAATGTGGCAAGAAAAGATGCTGATTGTATATTAATTCGTGTCTTGGTTGATTTTAATGCTTATGCAACTTAATATGACTCAAGCTTAATCTTATTCACGATTGGTTCATATTTTATCTGACATTTATGGATCTTTTGTTAGCCATTTCTGTGGCTGATATTGATATAACTATTCTTCATTACCACTGATTTAGCAATTGTGTTTGCGTGCCTTGTTTTGAAATACCCTTTAAACATTTCCTTGATGTACGCTAATTTGCTGCTTTTACACTTTGCGCTGTACGGTCATCTAATACTATTTCAGCTTGATGCTCAATGTGAATGTGGGTTTATCATGAAGTCATGATACGATATATTATGATTAGCATACACAATTTAACTAGAAATATATGCTGGGTCTTATATCTGCATAATGAGTCTGTTCTGTCTATTTGAAATGAACTTCCGCTTAGTAATAGATCCTGGTGTCTGAACTTCCATTCTCATAAAAGATAAACAAGTAAAATTATGATTCAGTTTAGACCCGAAATTATTGATTGTAACGTAATCCTTTGGCCTGGCTCCCATATCCCTGGTTTTATCTTGTTCAAAGGAAACCTTGAAATTGTACAATCGTCGGCTGTTTTCTCCTGCATCAGCTTTTTTGCATGATTAAGGATGGTGTTCAGTCAATTGAATAATGTATATGGTGATTGGCCTAGTTTCTTGGTGCTTTGTAAGTGTTGATCATTCTGAATGTGTTTTGAGTGTGGTCCGTTAACTTGGGTTCATTTTGATTAATATATTAATACATTCTTGTTATATCCCTTTTCCTTCTTAGTGGTGATTGATAACTCACATTCTTAGTTCTGTTTTCTTGCACTGGTAACATGATTTGTGTTCCCAACCATTATTTTCTTTTTCTTCTTCTTCTTCTTTTTAATTTTTTATTGGTTCAGGGTAACTGTGTAATCCATGAAAATGAGGCAAACACATGTACTTCTAGTCACATCAAGGAGACATGGATTGAATTACATGCTCTACTGCAATAGTTTTTTAACCCCTTTTTGTGTGGCTAGATGTGTTGATCATGTGAGCAAATTTATACTTGGTTATTGACGGTTCAATCACAAATTTCAAAGTTCAAAATTTTTGAAAGAAACCAAGAGAGTTAGCCTTGGTAGCTGTACTGTGGAAACGCAATTAGTAATTTTTATGAATTTATGAATGGTATTTTGTTACTTTTCCGTGTATGACTATATGCTTCCGTGAGTGCATTGCTTTGATTTATTATGATTTGATCTATGCTGTTAAAAGCTCAATGGTGATTTGCATCAGTTCAACCTATAGATGTACTTGGGGTTGTCTATAGTTTGTTGATTATACGTGACACTAATTTTACTTCCTTCATGAAGGTGGGTCCTGGCGAGGTAGATGATGAGCTTGAAGATGAGGTAGGGTCAGAATGTGCCAAGTATGGGACTGTTACTCGGGTCCTGATATTTGAGATAACAGAGCCAAATTTCCCCGCTGATGAGGCCGTCAGAATCTTTGTGCAATTTGAGAGGTCTGAAGAAACAACTAAAGCCATTATTGACCTTGACGGTAGGTACTTTGGAGGTAGAGTGGTGCGAGCCTCATTTTATGACGAAGAGAGATTTGGAAAGAATGAATTAGCTCCAATGCCGGGAGAAGTCCCTGGCTTTTTCTGAAATAAGAGATTCAACCTGTGATGTCCTAGAAGAACTTGTTAGTGATTGCCATGAAAACTCGGAAGTGAGTTTTGCTCATCATTTGTGGTGAGTAGGCTCCCATCTGTGAAAAATGGTGTTTGTAACTGCATCATAAGGTTGTTGCTTAGGGATTGATTGCTCATATCGTTTGGTGACGCAATTCTTCCTAGTAACGAAAAGAAACGAGCTCTTTAAAAGAAATTTTACCAGGTAAGTGGAGAAGGAACTCTATGGGAAGTTACGCACTTATTCAATATCTCCAATGCCTTGTTTGGTTGGCTTTAACGGTTTTCGGCATTTCGCCAGGATTTAGCCATCTTTTGGGAACCACAGGAGTGCTTCGAGTAATTATTAGCCACGGCACCTCTGTCTGGATCATGGCTATTAATCTTTGGGAAAATAATGAAATTACATAAATTAAAAAGTCGACTCAAATTAGTTAAGAGGTAATAAATGTGTGAGAAATGTATTAAACGCTCTTATTTATAGAAATGAGTGGGAAAAGAGGTAAGAGACGAGAAGTAAAAGAATGATAGAAAGGGTAAAAATGAAATATATATTTATATATTAAAATTTTATATATCTCTAAGATGGAAGGAAAACCCATTCCAAAAACTATAACCCTATCTTCTACCCTACAATTGTCTACGTTCCTAGCTAATAGCTATCAACACTCTCACCAAAACAAGAGAAGATTATAAACCGGGGAGACAGTCCCAGAGACTCTTACTATTTCTTTTCTAGTTGAATCTTTAAACTATCCATGGGAGCTGGTCGGCGGTGGATGTTAGTAATAAAACGGACGAAACAGTATGACGAGGCGACGCCGGTGGCTGTCAGCTGGTGGCCCTTCGCCCTCATTCGTCATATGGAGGAGACCTATCATTATTCTCTGATTCGACCTGCTCAAGTCCTCTAAATGAAGTGATTCCCCTGACTCGTCTCCATCGCCATTCCCGAGCTTTCCCCAATGCCACTGTCGCTATTCTTCTGGCTTCCTTCACCGTTGCTGGATTGAGCCTCTCCGGAGAGCTCTTGGTACGTGTACTCTGGAACAGGGATGGGTTGACGACAACTGTCCTTGAGGCTCTCGGGAAAGTATAATAACGAAGACCCGGCTTTGATGGTGGACAGAGGGGTTCCCAACGCCATCGGCGAACACTCTCCTCCGGCTGCTATCACAGCGCCACCGGTGGGTGTGGGGTTGGCGGCGGCGGCGGTTTTACGAAGAGCCCCACACAAGGGACAGCTACCCGAAACCTTCGATTCGAATCACAAAACCAACCATGCAAATCAACAAAATCGGAGAAAAGGAGAACATCACAGGACATGTCGATTTTGTTACAACAGCTACCCTGTTCTGACTTGCTAATTTTCCTAGAAATGTTTTGGAAAGAGGTAGAAAACACATAAAAGAAGAATATAAAATGATAAGGATACCAGTAGAAGAAGGCATTATTGTGAAGAGGGTACGTGCGTTATGGTAGAAAGAAAGGCGGCCTCGGAATGCATTCTTTGCCTGGTGTGTAGTGCATGGTTTTCGAGAAAATTTACAGAGAAAAACACGAAAAAATTGATGAAAGGAAGGTCGGGAAATAGAGTGAAGAGTGAGAGTATACCTTGGCGCGGTAGGTGGTGCCATCAGGGTGAATAACCCAGCCGGCCTCGTGGGCAAGCTGACGAAGTACCTCGTTAATGTCAGCGCGAGGAGAGAGACGATAGCCACCATGCTTCCTGAGGCCATGGAAGATATTAGTGGTGATAGCCCTTCTCTGCCTCTCTCTCATCCTGGTCTTCTCCTTGTCGCTCTCACTCCTCTTCCCTCCTCCTCCTCCAGATCCTTCCTTCATCCCTCTGCGTCTGTGTTTTCCTCCAAGCGGGAAATGCTTGGCGTCTGAGAAGGAAGGTTATATGTGACTCAACCAATCCAACGGTAACTAAGTGGCCATGTGGAGGCGAAAATGTTGAAAGGCTGAGAATTGGGGTTGGTAGAGCTGGGAATTTTGGCATGACAAAGACAAGGGGTCGCGGTGAGAATTACATGTTCAATGGTGACTATAATCAGTATAGAGCAGCTAGAGAAGTTCAATTGCTTAAAAGATTTTACAGCTAGCCATAGATAGTGTGTGAAGAAGATTCATATTATAAACAAAACATATTATTACCTCTTTCGGTTATAAGACTTCGTTTATAGTCTACAAATAAGATATTATAATTAGGATCGGAGATAATATATCATTGAAGATGTTAGAAGTTTTTGTAATAAGAGGGATGCAGAATAATGATTAAATAAATATTGGGGGAAAAATTAAGAAGGAATCATTGCGAGGCTCCAAAAAGAAATGGGTCTAATAATAAATGATTAGTATGAACCTAGGCTATAACTTGTGATTCAATTGTGCTACTAGATTTTTGATAATTACTTTTTTTTTTAAGATCACAGACTAATTTCTCCAAAAATTAAATGGAATCAGAGCGCAGGCAAGAGAGTAAAGAAGTGGATGAGTTTGAATGTCCAGCACTCAAAAACTTTCATGACAAATTTTTGCACATTAACCCTATATACATGTACATATATTATAAGGGTAGTTTGTTCGAATAATTGTTTTCAATTCCACAATCGATGCCGCCCCGTATGGAGTCATATCCAAAAATCTCATATTAAGAGACTTCCATGAATTAAGTAACTTCGTGGGGTCGGGGATCTCTTCTTGCACCAGAATTTCTCTGCATATCACGTACAACATCATCATAATTTCTTCTACAAATTAAGTCACTAAAGTAGGCATGCTCCAACGATTTCAGATGTCGCAGATACTTAATTAACATTGACAATACTTTTTTCGGCCCAAAGGACAATGACACTATTTACTAGATGAGATATATTCGAACTTAAGCAAAAGAGATTATTTTACTACATGAAAAAGTCTAAATATCTTGTCCAGAAAAGCATTGCAAGGAGGGATGCGCTAGGTTAGTTCGCTGTCGAGAACCAAGCACAAACGTTTCAGATAAAATTTTAATCCATGTAACACACAGTTGTGTTTGAGTCAATAGAGGAGATGAGAGATGAGGGGGAGATGAAATAAAGGAAGAGATTTTAATGGAAGAAAAAGAGATAAAAAGAAAAAGAATGGTTTTAATATTATTTTATTTAGATTAATACGAGAAGAGAAGAAAGGATGAATTTTAATGTTATCTTGTTTTGTTTAAAAAAAGAGGAGAGGCAAAATATTTTTGTATGGACAACTTTACCTTTATATTATTTAAATTGATTTCTATAAACTTTATAGAGTAATTAATAAAATATATTTATAAATAATATGTAATATATGAGATCAACTTTTTATAATTAGCAAAATTAAATAAATATAATGATAATACATAATTAATAGCTATTATATATCCAATAATTATAATTGTATTTATATCTAAAATCTGGTCTAATGAAGTAAATATGTTTAATTTGAGTATTTTTTTTTCAGCTTTTTTTTTTGTTGTTGATACGAGTAATCAAATAACTTTTTCAAAGACGACATAGATGACTTATTTGTATATTTTGTTTTGAATGCTTGATTTGTGTTTAGAAATTAAAATATACTTGACAACTTTTTTTTTTTTAATATTTGAGAGGTATGATTGAATCCATAAATATAATCACATACAATTTGGCGATAAAGGATAACATGAAATTATTAGAAAATGATATGGGCAAATTAGTCAATACATGCCAAAATATTATCTTTTCCCTCCAAATTCTTCCAATTTTGGAGGGGAGGCTTATAAGGAGAGGGGAGGAAAAATGTCAAAAAATTTTCCCTCTCCTCCTAAAATTTCTATCTTACCAAAAAAAGAAAAATCATTAAAATCCCTTCTCTTCCCTCCCCTCCTTTCCAAATCCTTCATACCAAATGGGCCGTTAGTTATCCGGAAATCCTTAACATCATGTCTACGCCCCCATCGTGTGCCCATTGTCATTCCTTAGCTAGCCATTTTGTCATTCCCATCTGGCCATCTAGCACTCAGATTCATGCCCCTTCGTGAAATAGTGAGTGTATTTATTTTATTATAGGCGTATTGCAATGGAAAAGATAGAGCTTGAGGTGATGAAGAAGAGCAAAACACAACCAAAACAACAAAGAGAACTTCGATCACGTGGAACAAATCTACTTAAAGAAAAAACAAATGTATGTATATATAGAACTTCTTACATGATCTAGAATTTCTACTTCATTTGCAAGCAATAATCACTTGGGCATTTCAAGATCCGGTCTCTCATCAACCACTTCATTAGCTGAATAATCAGGAAAGGCATCTGGATAAGTTGCTGAAATTTTCGACTTCATGCTTCTGTCAAGGGTGAACCAAGCAACAACATTCGATGTTATTAGAGAAATGAAAGACCAGAAGTAACAAAAGTACAGCGCGCACATAACAAGCTCTTTCAATATGCAGCATACATGATACTCCTCCGATCCTTATTATAAGACCCTATTTGACTTTTTATTTGGTTCTAATTATAAGACCCCAATCCATTTTATCTCTTATATTTATGCATTTTTTTCCAAGATAATCATTCTAATAATGATAGTTTTAGCCAATATACTTAATTAGCAAGGATATTTTAGGAATGACAACACTTATTTATTATAAATAACCAACTTAACTTACTTCCTTAATCTCTTCAAATAAGTCAATTGGGTCTTATAATTAGGACCGGAGGAGTATTTTCTTAGTCCTTTTATTCCATTTTCTTTTCGGGCACATATTTTTCCTGTTCCCTCACCTTCTGATCATGGTTTAGCAATCTTTGTTCACAAATAGTCAACACAACGCCCTCAATTATCCAGCCAAACTCATTTCCACTCTTATGACAAGTGAACATTCTTAGAACCTAAAGGTAACACCCAAGATTCATGGAAAGACATAAATAACACGTGCATGAAATTCAAAAGTACAGAAATTAAAAGACTTGCTCCCTAAATATTAGTATGTTATTTATAAAATGTGAACAACATTAAGCTTCAGCATTATAGAATTGAATATAGACATGATTACCTTACAAAGACCTATAATTAAGAGGTAACCATAAGTATTACTGCATCAATCATTAAGACACATGGAGTCACGGTAATGCCAGAATAAAACCACAAGTAGAACTTGCAGTTGCAGCCACTACTTTAAATCTGCTAAGCAGAGGTTACATATAACCAGCCATGTGCCCTTAGCATCAGGGTGAACAGGTCCAAATCCGGCAAAACTACAGTCTCCAGTGGAGTTTGCATGCTTCCTAGCTTTCAAGGAAGCTCGATAAATAAGTAGGCAGTGAGTGTGTGTGTGTGTGGTGTGTGAGAGAGAGAGAGAGAGAGAGAGAGAGTATTTTTATTATTTTGCCCCTTTAAATGACAATTTAAGTCATTGAAGTAGGTTTGTCAATGAAACTTCACCAAAAGTTGTTCTCTGATGGTTGCAGACAAATATTTCTATGCCTGAAAGTTAAAAATGCAACTCATACCATGTAACAAAGAGTAATAATATAATAACGTCTTAGAATGAAGCACAGGCTTTTTTTTTCCTTCACATTACTCATGAGTAATATTCAATAAAACATTACATGCACAGAGAATATTGTTAAAAAATGATCATGTGGAACTGAGATTATACAATTATAGAATATTATATATATATATATATATATATATATATCATGTTATCAGTGGAAAGCCTGATAACAAACGCTCCAAAACTGCATCTAAACTTTGTACAACATTTCTTGGTACAACTGCATAATCACGATAAAACCAACAGTTGGAAGTTAATGTACCTTAATTTCATAAATATATAATCCAGGTCTGACTTCATAGATTTCAATAGGCGGGTATTTCTGGAGATATCTCCAGAAACTTCAGCAAAGCAGTTTTCTGAGAACTCATTAAAGTGCGATAGGACAGCATTGCTATCCTGCAACCTTCCCAATCTGAAATTTTGGCATTTGAGAAAGGAAACAGAAGCAATTAGTCAAGATCTCAAGATTAAACAGCCAAAGATCATGTGGAAAATATTCAAGATAGAATATGCCACTCTGGTAGAAACAAAAAAAACCATTCTCCGCGTTTGCAAATTATGAGCCTATTTGGTCATTACTAAACGGTTGTTCATTAAGGGAAAAAAGGGAGGTGGGAGGACTTCCAATTTTTTTATCAACATCCACGCAACAACTACATATTCCTAGGTTGTAGGAGCTTGGTCCGTTCCAGCTACGACAGCATTGTAAATGATATTTCCTTTTTGTGATGCAAAATGATAGTAACCAAAGCACAACATAAACAGACACCCAGTTTCTATGCCAGCAATACCATTTCTCGCCGACACATAAATTCCTCAGTTGACTTGTAAAACAATTCCAATCTATAGGCCTGAATTAATAATCCAAAAGGTGAAAGATAGAAAACTAGAAATACAGCGACAATACGTGGCGACGCTCAACATAATATAAATTATACTTCGTAAACATCAGAACTAAAATACATTCTCGGTCCACAAAAAAAAAAAAAAAACATCCAACAAGCCATTCAGATGGTAGAGGAAAGAAAAGTACATGATGTGTTGCAATTGCTCGAGAGAATGAAGATCTTCTGTACTGACTAGGGTTTTGAACTCACGGGAAACCTCTTCCGAAGCAGCCCTAATTGGTTCCTTCTCTTCTTCTCTATGCTCCATTTCCATGGCTTTCTATCCTCGGCTATCCCTCGACTCTCGACCCTCGACCCTCGCCTCCGCTTCACCCCGCCACTCCTAGAAACGCCGCGAAACCAAACAGAGTTTTTTCATAGCCAGGCCCAAACTGCGCTGCACTTTATGTTCTGTGATTTTGGACAACTAAAGTTTGCTAGTGGTTCGACCCAATTTCTGAAATGGACCATTCTTATTTTCATAAGAAAACTGGGTTTGCACAAGGCTTGGCCCATTTTGACTCTTTAGTGTCTTTTATTTCTAAATATAAGAACTAGCTCTTATTATCTAATACTCCTCCAATCCTTAATATAAGACTCAATTGTTGAGTTGGTTTTGATCCTAAACATAAGACCTGTTTCTCATAATTATCAATTTTCTCTAAATTACCTCTATGGATACTCCCTCAACCATAATCAAGTAAAAGGAAGAGAAGGAATTAAAAAAGATGATTATGGTATTTTAAAAAAAATATGTCATATTTCTTATAATTAACTAACTTACCTAACTTTCTTAACCTAATCAAATTAGTTAAATAGGTTTTATTAAAGAACGGAGGAGTATTGTTCATCATTCCTACATTTACATGATATATAAAGTTGAACAAAAATTACTTCTTCCAGTCCTAAATATAAAATCCATTTTGTAATGTAAATTATACTGTAAAATAAGTTTTATATTTAGGACCGGAGGAATACCATTTATTTACTTCTTTTTTTTCTTTTTTTTTTTGTAATCTAAGGCGAGTTACCTGCAATTCCCTCCGGTATCTGGCTCTTTTTTTGGGCCCTGACCTTCCACTGGATCAGGTAAACCCGGGCAACTGACTAATCCGGAGTCGATATTTGGTTGGAGCGCATCCTATAACACTTTGTGTCAAGATGGGTATCCTCCTCTACTGACAAGTGCGCTTTCAAGGTTTGAACATAGGTTCTCACCTTAGAGTCGTCAGCCACTAACTACTGCGACCAACACTTGTTGGTACCATTTATTTACTTCTTATCAGCCACAAATATATTTACTACTTTTAACCTTGCACACAAGCCCATGTGCACCGCAGAGGTTTCTATTGTTATTTGTCTGTTGTTCTTAAACAGTATACAATATATATTATTTCATAATTACTATTTATATGTACCCCAAAAAAAATGAAACTTGAAAGTTATCATTGTGTATTTAATTATGTATTACAAAAAACTGCTATGAGAAAATAACATGATCTATTCACATGTGATATGTCAGTATATATATATGTATATATATGAATTGCAACAAATCATATTATTTATACATTATTGAACAATGCAGATCACATAAGATTTGGTACAACATAGGAGATATAGGAGTGAGTCTAGTTATGCAAACAGCATCATGAGGTTTTATTTTTGCCAAAAACAACAGGACAGTGAAAAAGTGCTATCATAATACCAAAATAATACATATCATTCGCCACCTTATTCTCCACTGGAATTCACGTTACGGATTGTTTTGGAGTTAAGAGTAAGGAAGCATGAAAGGTAAGGTGCAATTTAAGATTGCCTTTGGATTATGCTTTTGGAGACAAATTAGAGTAAAATGGTCAACTAGTAAAGTGAAAAAGGTTAAAAAAAGCTAACAACACTGACAAAGCCGATAACAAAAGTCAACCCAAACATATCACGTTCGTCATGGGCCCAGAGATCACTAAGATCTTGGGCTTTTCTCATCTGGTGGGGCCCAACTTTTCACACGTAATGAAAAGAACGATTTCTCAGAAATAAATCATAAAATTCACTTCTTTTAAAATCTGCCCCCAAAGTCAAATGGCATGCATACTTAAGTTTATTTGTGGGAACAGGCTACGGCTACAACATCGATTCTTTTTTAGATAGTTCAAATTTCCTTCTTTTGAATTTAAAATTATCATTTTTTTTTTGGATTTATTTTACATTATATGAACATATTCAATAAACTACGACTCATGTCACTTGTTATGGAGAACTGTTTTTACCTTATTTTAAGATAGAATATTGAAATTATCATGAGCGGCACAAGCTCTCGTCAGTTAAGCATATGATTGATTAGGAGTTTGAACCGTAACTGCTGTATAATACTACTTCCTGTCGTAATTATAAAACATTATTTATAATCTATAAACAAGATCTTATAATTATGATTGGATACGATTGGATGTAATATTTTTGAAGATGGTCTTTACTGGTGGCAGCGAATTAAATAACATACTTTACTGGCATGCTAATCAGTTACGTTGTGAATTAATGAGGAAGAGAAAGAAGGAAGGAAGGAGGGTGGCAGCATGATAGCATAACGCAGCTTTGCTTTATTGCCTCTCATGTGGATGACAGTGGTAGACTTTGCCTCATTCTTCAATCCAAAGCAAAAACATTCACTTGTTCATCTTTAATGGAGAAAGTAGAGAGATTTAGTTGGAAATGGGAGTAAATGTTGCGTTTACACAGTGAGTGTACTCACCCATCACCCATCATGATGATCACTGGCTAGCTCCTTCCCCAGCAGATCTACTTCTACTACTCGGTCGTACCATTTTTGGTTATATGTGTATCTCTAAAGCAGATCCTAAAATCTTCACCTCTTTAATTCTTGCAGCCACCACCCACTCCTCTTCGCCTCTCTCCAATCTCTCTTATGGTAATGTTCAAATGAGATTATAAGTTGTTCCCATTATTCAAAAGGCGGTCCAATGCACAAGACAAAAGGCTGATTCCAAAGCAAGTGGAGCAATGTTACTGGGTTGGATTATATCTTCTGAAAATAACATTATAAACACCACAAATCTTTCCCAAGTTTCAAACAATGATTTGAGTTAAGTTTTAAACAATGGGTCTCATTTGGTTTCAAATTATATACTAAATATATATATAGAGTCATGAAAGAGAGAGAGGACAGTAAATGTAGATGAAAAGGGAAGGGGTGGTGTGAGTAGGTGGAAGGTAGTGGAAGCCTAAGCTATGAAATGTGTAGAGAGAATCACAAGGAAGGCAGCATGAAAAAGTGGGGAGATGGTCCAACACAAAACCCCAGAAACCAAGAAATCATCATTAACCCTAACAGGGAACACAGAATACAAACAAGCAAACAAATTCATATCCACACAGCACTCTTCCCTTTCCCATGCCCCTCCTATGTCCTATTCTCCTACGCCTTCCCTACCCTACCCTCTCCCTCTCTCTCCCCATCAAGTGTTGCAACCTTCGATACATAACATGTTATGCTAACTAGGTAACAACGATGTTTGTGGTATATTTGTCCTCCATTTGAAAAACCAAACCAAACCATTGGTACACACATAAAACCCCTCAAAAACCACAAGTGAGTAATCTAGGGGTGCCACTGAAAACCACTCTTTGCTTCCTCCTATGTTAAACCCTAACCCATCATATTGGTAATAGCCTATCAGTATCAAGTGTGAAGCTAACCACCCCCCCTTCTTTCCCCCTCCAGTGAAGAAATTTAAGAAACCTGCAAGGCTGCTCCCAAAAAGATGACTTGCCATTTTCCTTTAAATAAAAAGCCGCACTTTCTCTTTCCTTCGCTTTTGCCCATCTCCACGCTTTCCTCCCTTCTTCTCCTTTTTCTTTTTAATTTCACATCATACAATGTGTTATATATACATATTACTTCCGGTCCTAATTATAAAAGCCAGTTGATTAATTTGAGGAAATTAAGAAAAGAAGTTAAGTTAGTTATTTATAATAAATAGGTATTGCTTTTCTTAAAATATTCTTATTAATCAAGTACATTGGCTAAAACTATAATTATTAAAAGGACTATCTTGAAAAAAATTGAGTAAATGTGAGAAACAAAATGAATTGGAGTCTTATATTTAGAATCAACATAAAAAAAATGAGATTTTATATTAAGAACCGGAGGTAGTATCTATTTAATTCATGAGGGGCACGTTAAAAATTTAATTGCTGTTATGAATTGTATGCCCTATTGCTCCACTTCAAAAAGTGTCCCTCCCACTTAGCTTTACAAGCCCTGGAATTTCAAGGCTCTAAAAAGGAAATAAAACCATCTACTGTGTATATGACATGTTGATGAGGTGGGCCCCTCTGTATACATATGTATGATGATGGTGGCATAATCATTATGCTACATGCATCATCCTGCTCCATCGTAGTCACACACACATATATATACATATATCATGGTACATTACATACGTAGGTCTGTACTTTGTACCAACGTACGTCTAGGCCATTATGGTCTCCCTATTTCCTTTTCTTCCTTGTCCCCCAGTTAAAATATAAATGTAGCTCAGCACCCGTGAGGCCCACTTTCAAGCCTAAACAGTAAGCACACACAATCCCCCAGCGGACACATACTTTTATTACTTTGTTTCTATCTTAGTCCAGAAATATAAATAATCTTTTATATTCAACTTATAGCATAAATTACAAATTACGAACTTCATGTGTCACCCACAAATGTAACTAACTTTTATCTTCTCTAGTTAAGCATATACATATTAATGGGGGAATTGTAAATAAAAACCCCTGAATATGTAAAATTGTAATTTGAGACCCTGAATTTGAAAAATAGCAAACAAGGACCCGGTCTCACTTTTATAAATATGAAATGTGGGTGAAATGTCTAAAATGCTTCTCAGTCAAATTGTAATTTGATCTACTGAAATTATCATTCGCTAAAATAAACTTGTCATTTCCCATAGTGAATTGGTCATTTGGCATACTTTCAGCCAAATTGTGATTTGGTTTACCAAAATTATTATTCGTTAAAGTGAACTTGTTATTTTTTATAGTCAACTTGTTACTTGACTAAGGGGTATTTCAGACATTTTAGCCACATTTCATATTTGCGAAAGTTAAACCAGAACCTTATTTACTATTTTTCAAATTTAGGAACTCAAATCACAATTTTACATATTTAAGGGTCTTTATTTGTAATTTTTCCTACATTAATTGTTGATCCAATATTTTCAACAATATTTCTTCAACAATATTTTTGCCCTTTAAATAAAGTATGAGAACTGGGTGGGGGCATTGAAGTCCTCAACGGAACCAATAGAAGGGACAAAAATGGAC